TCTTATGAATTAGACCATATCTAAATAATTCTTATAACAAATATTTTGTGTTTAAAAGTTTACTATTAAATTATATATACCGCGTGGGCCACTAATTCTTGTTAGTAATTAAGTTACTGCAAGTGTTAATAATTAAAACTAAAAGTAATTAAATTATTGTTAGTGCTAATAGATAAATTACTAACAACTACCGAAAATATATTGTTGATAAGCTATGCAAATTAAGGTATCCATAGCAACAACAAGATAAAAACCTTATAAGAATTGTGAATCTCATTTTAATACATGCGCCTAATAATGTGTACTTAGCGTAAATAAAATACTCTTTTAGATAGACAGAAGTTATATTTTTTACTGGAATAACATCTTTGTATGATACTGCAGCAACATCTTTGTATAATGATAATAAAGAGCAAATCATAAATGTTTGGAACTGTGACATGCACTTTAGATTAAAAAAATTAAAAGTTAGAGTATCAAGACTATATAGAGGTTTAGAAATAAGCAATAGGTTTATTTGTTGACATAAAAATATTAAACATTTATGAACATCTGTAGAATACTCATGATTGTCTTTAACTTGTTCACATATTTATTTTTGAAATTACATTAAATAGTTAAAACATAACCTGAACTGGACATAATATTTTTATCACTAGGAAAAAATTGTATTAACATAGTGGACAATTGAGTTCAATAAGTAAGTTTAAACTCATTGTTAAGTACCTTAGCCACCAAACTGCTGTCTATCTTCAAATTACAAGAAAAAACTTAATGCTTTATCAAAGTTGATAAAAAATATACTAAATATATAATAAACTGCGCTGAAAATACGAAAACTAAATCTTAAATATTTACAATTTGAGATATTTAGTCTAAATTTTAAGAACAAATAGGTAATCGAAAAATTTAACATCTGGCTGCTAAAGTGACGTCACAAGAGTTTTTTCATTCCGTGAGCGGGCCTTCTATTTTAGAAGGCCTTGGTTAAACTCATTTTCTTATTATATCGTCTAATAATTCTTAATATTGTCAACATAATAAAACAAAAAATACAAATAAATTTTAAATTTAAATATTTAAAAATTTTAATTATTGTTTTTTTTTTTATTTATTTACCAATATAGTGGCGCTGTAAAGTATTTTTCTTATTATCTTTGAGTCAATCTGTTTATTTTGAATGCTTACTTTAATTAGATTTTCATTCATGGGAAGGAGTTTGTTGAATCATCTTCATGCTTGTTCTATGAGAAAAATTTTTTTAATAGATTTTTAAATTTGTATATTTAGTATAAGAATTTTTATATTTCTTAATTAAATTACTCATAAAATATAATGAACATCGAAATGAGGTTTTTAAAGCAACTTTGCATGACGATTTACGCTGAAATTAAAAATGCTTAAGAAGTTAGTTATTCTTTTTTAATTTCTTTTTTTAAAGTAGAACACGTATAATTTTTTTTTTTTTAAAGTAGAACACGTATAAATTTTTTTTTTTGAAGTAGAACACGTATAAATTTTTTTTTTTTTAAAGTAGAACACGTATAAATTTTTATTTTTTAAAGTTGAACACGTATAAATTTTTACGTTAACTAGATTTTGCTTTTTTAGCTAATTTCATACTTTACAAGACTAGCATAATTCAAACATCAAAAAAGTGTTCATTTTAAGTACAATACAATCACAAACCAGTTGTTTATAGAGGCAGAAAATGTTTTCTTATAAAATATTTAGTACAACTTTATATTTTTGCAATCGTTTGTCTATATTTGGTGTTTGACTATTCAAATTTGCAAAAGATATTTTAGATTCAATTAAAATTTGCAGATTAGCTCTTTTAACTACCAGCTTTGCTGGTAGTTAAAAGAGCTAATCTGCAAATTTTTGAAAAAAACAAAAAAGTTATTTGTCTAATAAAAATATTTGATTTTTGCTTCGAAAATAGCTTGTATAAATTAATATTTTGTTGGAGATTTTTCGCAACTATAATATTTATAGTCTCTTTGAATTCTTTTAATCTATCAATTTATGGATTGCGACATATTTCCCGGTGACAAACCACGTTAATTTGTTTAGTTTAGATAACATAGTTTAGATAACTTATGATAAAATAATAGGCTTGTTACTTTATCATAAGTTCTTCTATAGTTTCAATATTAGAAAAATTTTAATTAAGTGAGCGTTGGAACCAAATATTGATTTGTTGACACAATTTAAAAAAAGCAGTTTTCATTTACAATTGCGATTGTTAGCTACAATGTGTCCTAAAATTGATTTATATTTTAGGCTTTGCTAAAACCATATTAGGGGAGAGTCGGGTAACCCCGGACACTTCTGGAAAATATAGATTGTACACATGTGCTATAAGAAAAAAAAGTGTCAAAAGACTTTTTTCAAAAAGTTCAAACATTCATCTATCGAATTAGAAACAAAAAATAAAAGAAAAAATGTTATACAAAACATAAAAGAAAAAATGTTAGAAAAACGGCATGTTTCAAATTCGGAGGGTAGCCCCGGACACATAGTTTAAACATGATTTTACCTCTTTTTTACCAGTGTGACACAAATGTAATACATAATAATTTAGCATCGGACTGTTCTCGACACCTTTTTAAAAAAATCGCCTTTTAAAATTGCTTCTGATATATAAGGAATGAGAATGAAAATGTCATGGTTTTAAAATATAAACATAAGCTTTTTTAAAATTGTTTTTTATTATGATAGATATTTGTTATTATAGTTATATAATAGTATTAAAATGTTATTATAGTATTAAAAGTCACATAGCTTCTTTAGTTTAAGCTGTGCATCAATTGTCCGGAGTTACCCGCCGTCCGGGGCTACCCGACTTTCCCCTATCTAAAAAAAAACATTATAAAAAATGCAAGTCAAAATAGAACTATTTAACTTAAACGGTGTTTGTTTAAAGTGTTAAAATGTTGGTTATTTTGCACAAAATTTACTTGTTTTGGCTGTACGCATAGTAGGGTAATCACTAAGGGGCCATCCATAAAGGATGTCACCATATTTTAACCAATTTTTTACCCCATCCCCTCCTTTGTTACCGGTTGTCCTTTTTCCCTATATCCCCCTGGAAAAGGACGTCATAAAATCTTGACCCCCTCCCTATTTTTAACTTCAAAAAAATTTATTTCGTCTTGCAATGATTTTTGAATCTGCTGCTACACCTTTGAAAAATAAAATTAAAAATATTCTCATACATTATCTTCTCAAAAACACATGTTTACGTAGTTTTCCATATTAATTAAACTAAAATAAAAAATCTAAAAAGTGGCGTTCTTTTCTGACAACCTTCTCCCCCCCCCTCCCCTTGTCTTTTTTTGTTGTTTTTAACTCGACTCTCTTCCCCCCCCCCCCTATTTGGATGACGTCCTTTATGGATGGCCCCTAATACTAAGTGTGATATTGGTTAATATCAGATATCCCATTGCTTGATTTCCTCGTATAACATGATTTCCATATATAGTGTGATTTCGACGTACAAAGTGGTTTCCGTGTATAAAGTGATTTCTCCGTATTAACAAGTTCTTGATTTCTAAGAATAACATGTTGTTGTTTTTGTATGTTTATTTGCGGGATCTGTTAATAATGTACCAAAGCTTTTTTTTTTTTTTACTTTTCTTTCTTAATTTAGTCAAAGATAAAAGCAATAATTAATCTTTTTAGTTATTGTCAATAAAAATTAATAGATATTTTTTTTTTAATTTATAATTTTATACTTACGTTTATGATTACTTATTCAATAGAAATTAAAATATTATCTGATATAATACAGATATTTGCAAGAACTTATAGCGTTGCTAATTTACACAAAAAATCAAGTTTTTAAATTTATTAATACTTTTGACTTTATTATTAAATACTTAACATTTATTATTTATTTTTATAACCATTTATTAAAAAAAAAATAACTAAGTATATATATATATATATATATATATATATATATATATATATATATATATATATATATATATATATATATATATATATATATATATATATATATATATTTATATATGTATATATATATATATATATATATATATATATATATATATATATATTATGTATATATATATATATATATATATATATATATATATATATATATATATATATATATATATATATATAGGGCCGCCGAGAGGGTGGGGGACACCGGGACAGTGGCGCTAAATGTGGCAGATATCCAAGAGTCCTTTATATATAATATAGGGAAAATTTGATAGATAAGGACACCAATCAGGATTGCTGAAATTCGTGATTTAAAGTCAAATAGTTAAAACAAAAAATTTTTATACAGTAATTTATGATGCAAATTTTTTTATTAAAATTTTAAATTTGTATATTTAGTATTAAAATGTTTATATTTCTCAAATAAATTACTCTTAAAATATTAGGTACAGCTCTGCACATAATCTGACAACATATTTTTGAGCTAACGTTTAGAATTAAACGATTGTGATTTTGTTTACCGGCTCAGCTCTATGCCCCGTACTTTTGAAGTTCTAGAAATCACTTTGTCAGGCTGCTGAGTTAAATGTTTTTTGACAGGAATCATCATAATTACCACTCTTTGAAAAAGTATATTTTTACTGTTGTGTTAAATATTTCAAACTTATTTCAAATCTATAGTATTAATTTAAAAATAGTTTTAATGTTTTTTTCTGTATTTTTAAATATTTCAATCGATTCCATACTCCCACTGATTTGTTAAATAATTCTTTTGATGTTGTTTATTTGAAGTGAAACCCGCACTATTTCTTAATAACTTTAGTTTCGCGTATTACTCCAAATTTCAATATTTAATCTAATTTATAAATTTATACTTCAAAATAAATATAAATGTTTGCTTATTGTTTTGCGTATTATTGTCAATTGACTGATAATTTTTAAAAGGCTATTACACTTGAACATCTTAGTTTTTTTTTTTGTTAAATTAGCTTTCCAGAAAAATAAATATATTTAATCATCTGTTTTTGATTACTTATACAAAGATCTATAAAATCCCGGGTTCACCGTCATCTTAACCATCGGGTTTTCTAGACAGACTAAGCCATGTTATCGCTTGCGAGCATTGGTTTACTATGCTTCATAAGCTATACATCTTCTCACTGGGTTCCAGAGATGGAAAGTAATGCATTAATTCCTAAAGTTAAATTTTAATGAAATTGTAAATACAATAAAAAAATTTAAAATGTCATTTATCATTTAAAATTTCTTAGTTTATTTCTTATAAGTATATTGAAATCGTGGTATTTAAAAGTTATTTATAAGTTTGTTATTATTTATAAGTTGCTGATTTAATTAAACTAAATAAAAATCTCTTCTCATTGCAGACATAAAACACTTTGAAGGAGATATGGTATTGGATCCAGACCAAAGAAAAGCTGTTCTTAACGGATATGGAAGTATTATCGGAGGACGTTGGCCAAATAATATTGTTCCGTATGAAATGAGCAGAATAAGTATTCTAGATGTTGTTTTATTAAAAATAATTTAAAATAATATAATTAAAATAATAAAATAAATATTATTTAAAATAATAAAAGTTTAAAATTTTGTTTTCAAAAAGCAACAAATTAAAACTGAATAACGTTTTTTAGATAAGCAAGGCCAAGTCATGATTAACCAAGCAATAGAACAATATCACAAGCACACGTGTTTAAAGTTTGTTCCAAGAACTAACCAACGTGAATTCTTAAGTTTTTATCATGGAGATGGGTAGGCACCATTACTAATTTACTACTTCAACTAAATCTATATCTGTATATATAAATATATATATATATATATATATATATATATATATATATATATATATATATATATATATATATATATATATATATATATATATATATATATATATATATATATATATATATATATATATATATATGAATATATATATATATATATATATATATATATATATATATATATATATATATATATATATATATATATGTATGAATATATATATATGAATATATATATATATATATATATATATATATATATATAAATATATATATATAAATATATATATATATATATATATATATATATATATATATATATATATATATATATATATATATATATATATATATATATATATATATATATATAGAGAGAGAGAGAGAGAGAGAGAGAGAGAGAGAGAGAGAGAGATTTAAGAAATGTACACCTTATAAAATAAAATAAATTAAAAAATGAGGTTAAATATTAAAAAAAAAAATTTGCAATATTTTTTATTTATGATGGAGAATTGATACATTTATTCAATAAAACAAACTTCAAGTCGCAAAAACAAACAAAAATAAATAAAACAATAGAAAAAACCAGGAAAAACAAAAAAACGAAGGCATAATTATTGTAAAAAAGAACTAAAACCTTTTCAAATTAAATAGAATACACACTTATATACTTTTCATGTATAAATGAATAGTCATAAGCTTTTACACGATCGTAGAAAAAGCGTTATCGTATCGTTAAAAATATCGTTATTATATATTGTATCGTTCATTAGTAATCTTTATGCCTTAATTTCATTAAACGTTGTTAGTGTTTTAAGTTCCATTTGTAAGTATTTTATTACAAATAATTCCAGTTTTCTAATCGAGATCAAAAGTTCAGTTGCCGTAAAATAATATTATTTAAATACTACTTTTATAAATAATTTTTATTTTTATTAATTTTAAACATAAAAATAAGAAATCGGTAAATATTATTTGGTAAATATTTAGCATATTTAGCTTAAAAAATTATGATTGGGAACTTGCAAAACTGATTTTTTAGTTTTATTTTAATGTATTAAGCAATGTTAGCGTAACTAAGTTAATGATAAATAAAGGAGAAATACAAGGGTTTTAAATCAAAATGGATTTACAAAGGTTTTGCTTAATATCAGTTTAACAATTATATGATTTTTAAACATTACTTTTTTAATCAAGAAACTTTAGTGAGAGATATTAGTTTAATACTTTCTAACTTAAAGTAAATGTAAAACTTAATTCTTTGGTATTAAGCCAAAACTCTAATCACTGCAACACAGCTTCAGTGGTTAGATATGTACAACATATCTTTGCTTCATTCATTTTTAACATGGAGAACATAATTTTTTTTTCATTACCTCTTCTCCGTACCCGCACCCTTTTTCCGTAGCAAAAAATAAAAACAACTAAAGAATTCTTAAGATAATCATGAAACTTAAAAATATATGTTTTTTTATATGCGCTATATGTTTCTTTATACGTGCTATATGTTTTTTTTATATGTGCTACATATTTTTCTTTTATTCATTTCATCTCACCCAAAAAAAGACATTTGTTTATTTTACTTTTTTTTTTTAATACAAATTATTTAGCTGCTCTTCACCTGTCGGATACCAGCAATTCAGAATGAATGAAATTTCATTGGCGAGTGGTTGTTTTCAATTAGGTACAGTTATGCATGAAATCGGACATAGTTTAGGTAAGTTAATTATAAAAAGATTTTCTGTAGGCTTTTAGTTGTTGTTAACAGTTCGATTTGTTACTGTAAATTTTATTATTTAAAAAAATTCTTAAGTATTTCCCATTTAGGATTTTACCACGAGCAAAGCAGACCAGATCGTGACAAGTACGTTACCATAGTGTGGAAAAACATACAACGAAGTAAGTTACATTTTGAGGCAACTCTATATTTTATTATTTTAAAAAAATGCAAGGGAGATTGAAAAATATGCAATAAAAAAACTTATTTAAATATCAATGAACTAAATCATTTTTTTTTAGTTAATGGACAGGACATGAGTTACAATTTTAATATGCATACCTTAAATACAATTAATAGTATGGGAGAACCTTACGACTACGAATCAATGATGCATTATGATAGCACTGCATTCGGAGGAGGTCGAGTGACAATCTTGACAACCGACAAAAACAAACAAAATGTAATTGGACAAAGGAACGGTTTTAGTAAAGGAGACATCGCTCAATTAAACAAAATGTATCCTTGTCCAGGTAATAATAAATTTCTAATCATTACTATTATAAATATTATCCTATACTTATTTTTATTATTATAATACTTTTAATGCAAATTTGATTATTAGGCTCAGTAACCCCTAAACCAACACAGTTGCCACGCTGCAGTCCCGGGCAAGATATTAACGCTGACTGTCCATTATGGGCTAAATCAGGATACTGTACTTCGGCGAACTTTTGGCAAAGTATGAATCAGCTATGCTGCAAGTCATGTGCAAGTAATATTCCTTTGTTCTACTCAAAATAATTTTATAAGAATCCTCGCATAAATAAGTTTGTGTTAAATATAATAAATAATAAACTTATCTTATTGAAATGCTAGTTGTCAGTTAAATTAGTTGTCAAATAATATCAATTTTAGGTTTATCAACAGCTAAACCAGCTGCAACATCAGCTTTACCACAATGCACAGAAGGAGTTGATATAGACAAAGAGTGTCCGAACTGGGCTCAAAAAGGATTTTGTACCGATCCCACCTATACTAAAGGAATGATGCGATTATGTTGCAAATCATGTGCCAGTACGTTTTTTGTTTGGTCTTTATTTTTATACAGCATTATAACATTCCAAATAACTCAAATTATTAGGGGTACAAGAAAAGAGAAACATGTTAATTATTTCCATTTTACAAAAAATTCTAAAAACACCTTTTTTAGATCAACATTTTTTAAAGAATATTTTCTTCAAATGAATACACAAAACAAAATTAGAAATCCCTATATTATCACTTTCGTTTAACCGTTTAATCCCGCCTGTGTAATATCAAAACGCACAAGACTTTAAAAAACTAGACATAAACGACTTAAATTTTATTTTGTTTTTAAAGATGTTGCAACAATATTAAAAAATTTATCTAAACAATTTAGGTGAATGTAAAGACAAAGACGTGAACTGTGAAGAATGGGCAATAACTGGCGAATGCAAAAAAAATCCTGACTGGATGTTAAAAACCTGTCGCAAATCGTGTAAAGTTTGTGCCGGTAATAGTTCAGTTTTTAGTTCAAAATATTTAATAAAATAAAAACAAAACAAATTTTATAACTAAATTAGTTATTTGGACATTTTTGTTTTACACTTTTTTTATACATTTTACATACACATTTATATATAGAGCCCTGCATCGATTTTGATGCCAATTGCGTTTCGTGGGCTTCAAAGGGAGAATGCAAAAACAATCCTGATTGGATGCTAAAGTATTGCCGCAAATCTTGCAACTCTTGCCCCGGTAGATGTTAATTTGCTTTTTCATATCGTTAAGATTTATTTTTTACATATTAACAAAGTGCATATTTTTTAATTGAATCTTTTAATTAATTTTATGAAGCTGCATGCGAAGATAATGATATTAACTGTGCAGCTTGGGCTTCAACTGGAGAATGTAAGAAAAATCCTGATTACATGTTATCGACATGTCGTAAATCATGTAATGTTTGTGTAGGTATGAAGTTTAAATCAAAATATTTCTAAACACCAATAACTAGATTTAAAGTAAGTAAAAATCAATTAAGTTAATTATTGAAAACAATATTTATGCAATATATTTTTTTAGGTTGCGTTGATAATGATTTGTACTGCCCTGATTGGGCCAAAACTGGAGAATGCACAAAAAATAAAGATTATATGTTGACAGCTTGTCGAAAATCATGCAAAGCTTGTTAATAAAATATATTTTTAAAATTAAAATATGTACATTTTTGTTTTTTAAAGTTTAAAAATTAAATAAATCTTGTTTTAAATAAATCTTGTTTTAATGGGAGAATGCACAAAAAAAACGGGAGAAAGAACAAAAAATAAAGATTATACGTTGACAGCTTGTCAAAAATCATGAAAAACTTGTTGATAAAATATATTTTTCAAAATAAAAATATGTACACTTTTGTTTTTAAAAGTTTAAAAAGTAAATAAATCTTGTTTTAAATAAATCTTGCGTTAAATAAATCTTTTTTTAAATAGATCTCGTTTTATATAAATCTTGTTTTAGAAATATAAAATGCGTTAAAAAACTGTTTTGTGTTCGTAAGTTTATTATTGTTAAATATATTATCAAATAGTTTTTTTTTGAATGGATTTGCATACAAAAACAATGGGAAAACATTCTTGCTCAAACATTTAGATAACAACTGTTAAAATGTTTAGCTAAGGTGTAGTATGCGTAGAGAAAGCGGCACAATTCTAAATATGCATTCCAAGTCATGCCATGGTACTTTTGACTAAAAGTACCATGGCATGATTTTGAAAGTTTAGTAGCACCCGAACCGGCCCATTATTCTTTCATACTAATTTTCTGGTATTTGATACTTCTTGATAAATTTTTCTTTTTAGTCTCATCAATGTATATAGAATTACACGAACATTTTAGTTGGTAGACGCCTGGGTTTAAAGGAGGTTTTATTTTATTGTGCAAAATATACTGTTTAAATTTGGAGCTGATGTGAATATAACTTTATTGGATTAGTATCCATAATACCTTTATGAATGGTTGTCCATTGGTTGATAATTGGTATTTTTTATATCGTTTTTTATGTAGTCTCTGACAATATTAGTTAGACTGTAGTGCTAAAATATTTTGTTTACACGACATAAAAAACCTTTAAATACGCCAGTGATAATACAAAGGTTGATGTTGGACTTAGATTTAAGTTAAATATTAGTAAATGCTTATTTCAATGAACTTGAAACTCATAAGCTCCATACGTTGTATTTGTAATATTATTATCTAAAAAATGTATATGTTTTTGGTGGTTTTTGGTGGTGTTGGAAGGATTTTGTTTGTTTAGGATATTTAGAAACATTTGCTGCTGCTTTATTGAATCAAAACGAGCGTAACAGTCGTCTATATATCTCATTAAAGTTATTGATTCTAATCAGAGGCGATTCTGCAAATAAAAAAAAGGAGGGGGGGAGGGTAATCCTCAAAAAGTACCGACTGGCTTCTTAAATGAGAGAAAAAAAAAGTTTCTCAAATCGAAATTTTAACCGACTGAATTGTGTCGAAAACCTGACTAGCCAACTAAATTCGTGAAAAACCCGACTATAACTTGAAAATCAACCTCTTCAGGGGTCGGAGGGGTGTTACTCCCCCTTCCCCCCCTCCCTCCTCCAAAGAAGGTGTGTGTATGCAACGCTTCCCCTCCCATCCCCCTCTACACACACACACACACACACACCGTAAAGTCGCCTCTGGTTCTAATCTATGAATAGTAACTATATTAAAGATTTTTCTTTTTATATTTTTTAGGAACGCTTCCACCATAACAACCATTAAAGACAAATTTATATGAACTAAATTAAGTATTATTTGGATTTTGTTTAGCGAATGCTTAACAAAAGTTCAATTAATTGGTGAATGCCTAAAAGAGAACGTTTTGTTTGAGTCTTTCAGTCGTCAATGTTATTATTCAATATATCAATAATAACTGGAATAGCTTCGTTGACCGATATATCAAATAAAACTTGATCTTTATTGGGATATATTTTCAATTGCCTGGCTTAATTAACAAATCTATTCAAATTAAAAAGTCTGTTTTTTTTAATTTAATGTTGGTTGAATAATATTAACAAAAGGTTTGGATGTTCCATAAGGTGGTGTGTTGATTATTAATAGAATAGGACGCTTTGAGTAAAATTTTAAAAACATATTTGAGTCTAGCTTACCCTTATTTCTTAACTTGCACAATTTGGTAAAAATTGGTAGTAGGTTGAGTCATGATCAATAATTCTTTTTTTTATTGTTTATTTATGCTATTTTTAATAGGTTATAATGCTATTTTATTATTCATTTATGCTATTTTTAATATGTTATAATGCTATTTTATTATTTATTTATGCTATTTTTAATATGTTATAATGCTATTTTATTATTTATTTATGCTATTTTTAATATGTTATAATGCTATTTTATTATTTATTTATGCTATTTTTAATATGTTATAATGCTATTTTATTATTTATTTATGCTTTTTTTAATAAGTTATAATGCTATTTTATTATTTATTTATGCTCTTTTTAATATGTTATAATGCTATTTTATTATTTATTTATGCTATTTTTAATATGTTATAATGCTATTTTATTATTTATTTATGCTATTTTTAATATGTTATAATGCTATTTTATTATTTATTTATGCTATTTTTAATATGTTATAATGCTATTTTATTATTTATTTATGCTCTTTTTAATATGTTATAATGCTATTTTATTATTTATTTATGCTATTTTTAATATGTTATAATGCTATTTTTAATTTGTTCTTCTAATTCAAGAGATTTTTACTTTTAGTATAATAGTGAAAAACCTTTATCTAAGGGATATATTTTAATATCTAAGTTATTTTTAAATTTGTTTATGGAAAGACGTTGCTGTTCGGTTAAGTTATCTTTTAATCTTAATTTTAAAGAATATGTTAAAATTTAAAACAAACGTTTCAATACAAGAAACAATACCCATATAAGAGATTTTCTTCTGTAGTGGACCTAGATTGAGTAGCTTGGCTGTTATGTTATCCAGAGTAATATTAGTTAAATTTTTTTTTTTTTTTTTATTTTATTTAATTAATGTTGTTGAGATAAAGCGCCAGGCAATATCTATGACAGCCGGTATAAATTAGTTAAAGAACATGTTAATTCAGTCACTAAATAATAATAACGTTAATAATAAGCTTTCTTGGTTTTTATCTTGTTTGTTATTGCTTCTAAGTCGACCGATTGCAAGTTTAATTTGAAGCTTTTAACTGTAGTAGATTGAACAACTTCGGATTGTAGACTATTTCATCCATCAAAAACACTATTGCTGAAAAAATATTGCCTTTTTAAACAATTTCTAACCAATTCAGGTTTCATTCGATGCTTTGCTCCTCTAATGTTAGCTGTAGGACCTGATGAGCAAATACCATGAGTTCATTGATTGATTTTGTTTAATATTAATGATTTCAAAACCTTTAAATATTTTGAATTGCTGGATCAAGTCGCACCTTAGCTTTCTAGCCTCCAAAGTAGTCAAACCCAATATTTCCAATCTTTTTTCGAACTCAAGCTGTCTTAGCTCCGGTATCATTTTGGTAGCTCTTCGTTGGACTTTTTTTAGTTTATTAATATCTTTTGTATAATACGGACTCCATGCTTGAGTTGAAAACTCATAATGTATTTAACCATTAATGTATTGTTATTGTTCATAAAATATGAATATTCGTTATTATTTGAACCAAAGTGCATAATTTTACATTTTTCAAAATTTAATCCTAACTTCCATTTTGTTGACCATTCGTCAAGTTTATTTATATCATTTTGAAACAATTGTGAATCATTTTGAGAAGAAATAGGCGCAATTATCTTATTATCATCAGCATATAAACGACATTCATTAACAAAATTTTCTGGTAAATCATTTATAAATACCAGAAAAAGGAGAGGACCTAGAACAGACCCTTGTTGTACACCACTAAGTACATCAACCCAATCTGTCACACTTTCACCTAAAACCACTCTTTGTTTTCTATTAGCTAAGAAATAGACTATCCACGTAAGAAGTTTACCAGAAATACCAAAAGTCAATAACTTGGATAATAACTTTTTATGTGAAACACTATCAAAAGCTTTTTTAAAGTCTGTGTACAATACATCTACCGGTATTCCATTGTGGAACGTATCTGTTAAAATATCTAGGTATTCTAATAGGTTTGTTGTACAGCTCTTGCTTTTCATAAAACCATGTTGTTTTTTTGAAAATAAATTATTTTTTATGAGATTTTGCATGATACAACCAGCTATTATTCTTTTAACACTTTACATGGTATCGAAGTTAACGAGACTGGTCTGTAGTCAGATGCTTTAAATTTGCTTCCTTATTTAAAAAGTGGCATTACATTTGCCTTCTTCCACATATCTGGTAGGGTACCTGTTTCCTTCGATTTTTTAAAAATTAAATATAATGGGTATGATATTGACGAGCTGCATTCTTTTAAAACATATGGATGAACAAAATCAAAACCGACTGATTTTGACTTATCTAGTGCTTTTAGCCTAGTTTGGACATCATTTTGTGTTATTAAAACTGTTTTAATAATAAATTTGAAGATATATTATGAAACTCAATAATACTTTTACAATTATCATTAACATACACAAAATGAAAATATTTATTTAGTTCAGTAGCTATAGCGAATTGATCACTTATGATTTCTCCATTATCAATTTCCAGAGCTCGAATTTGAATTTTCACTGATTTCTTCTCATTGATATATTTATAAAGCAATTTAGGATTTGATTTAAACTTGCTAGCTAAAGTATTTTCTAATTGTTTTATATTGTTCTTAATATCATTCTTTATTCTAACTTTTAGCTTATTATACTGAGTTTTTGTTGATTCCTCATTCCAGCCATTACGTTTATTAGCAAGCCATATTTATGTTTCAATCCAGAAGTAATCCATTTATTTCTGTTCCTTCTATTTTGATAATTAATTCTTGGGATAAACAGATTAGCTGCATAATTGTAATGATAAAAAAATAAATCATGCATTTCATTTATAGATTTATTTTTAAATCCATTTTCCCAGTCTACATTATTGATACGGCGAGAAAATAGTTCATAATTTCCTTTTTGATATAATCTAATGGATTTCTTATGTTCGGTAGAAGACTTATAATCATTTATTAGATAATAACACTTTATTAAATGATGACCCTGTTTGACATTCCCTAAAGGAGCTGAGTGAGTTATAGTTGATTTGTAGTTTGCTATTTGGAATGTTG